TGGTCCACCAGAGACCTCCCGGCCCCACATAATATCGATCTGCAAGAGCTTTCCCAGAGATCTCTGTCTCATGGAGGCTAAACAATATGCTACTAAATAACCAAGAGATCACTGAAGAAATCAAAGAGGAAATCAAAATATACCTCAGTGCTAAGACCCAGCTGCACTCAACGACCAGCAAGCTCCAGTGCTGGACGCCCCATGCCAAACAGCCAGCAAGACAGGAACACAACCCCACCCATTAGCAGAGAGGCTGCCTAGAATCATAATAAGGTCACAGACACCCCAAAACACACCACCGGATGTGGTCCTGCCCACCAGGAAGACAAGATCCAGCCTCATCCACCAGAACACAGGCACCAGTCCCCTCCACCAGGAAGCCTACACAGCCCACTGAACCAACTTTACCCTCTGGGTGCAGACACCAAAAACAATGGGAACTACGAACCTGCAGCCTGCAAAAGGAGACCCCAAACACAGTAAGATAAGCAAAATGAGAAGACAGAGAAATATGCAGCAGATGAAGGAGCAAGGTAAAAACCCACCAGACCAAACAAATGAGGAGGAAATAGGCAGTCTACCTGAAAAAGAATTCAGAGTAATGATAGTAAAGATGATCCAAAAGCTTGGAAATAGAATGGAGAAAATACAAGCACTGTTTAACAAGGACACAGAAGAACTGAAGAGCAGACAGTGATAAACAACACAATAAATGAAATTAAAAATTCTCTAGAAGGAAATAAATAGCAGAATAACTAAGGCAGAAGAACGGATAAGTGACCCGGAGGATAAAATAGTGTAACTAACTACCGCAGAGCAGAATAAAGAGAAAAGAATGAAAAGAATTGAGGACACCCTCAGAGGCCTCTGGGACAACATTAAATGCACCAACATTCGAATTATAGGGATCCCAGAAGAAGAAGAGAAAAAGAAAGGGACTGAGAAAATATTTGAAGAGATTATAGTTGAAAACTTCCCTAATATGGGAAAGGAAATAGTCAATCAAGTCCAGGAAGCGCAGAGTCCCATACAGAATAAATCCAAGGAGAAACACGCCAAGACACATATTAATCAAACTATCAAAAATTAAATACAGAAAGCTGGAGTAGCAATTCTCATATCAGACAAAATAGACTTTAAAATAAAGACTATTACAAGAGACAAAGAAGGACACTACATAATGATCAAGGGATCGATCCAAGAAGAAGATATAACAATTGTAAATATTTATTCACCCAACATAGGAGCACCTCAATACATAAGGCAAATGCTAACAGCCATAAAAGGGGAAGTCAACAGTAACACTGTAATAGTAGGGGACTTTAACACCCGACTTTCACCAGTGGACAGATCGTCCAAAATGAAAATAAATAAGGAAACATGAGCTTTAAATGACACATTAAACAAGATGGACTTAATTGATATTTATAGGACATACCATCCAAAAACAACAGAATAAACTTTCTTCTCAAGTGCTCATGGAACATTCTCCAGGATAGATCATATCTTGGGTCACAAATCAAGCCTTGGTAAACTTAAGAAAATTAAAATTGTATCAAGTATCTTTTCCAACCACAATGCTATGAGACTAGACACCAATTACAGGAAAAAAAACACTGTAAAAAATACAAAGACATGGAGGCTAAACAATACGCTACTAAATAACCAAGAGATCACTGAAGAAATCAAAGAGGAAATCAAAAAATACCTAGAAACAAATGACAATGAAAACATGATGATCCAAAACCTATGGGATGCAGCAAAAGCAGTTCAAAGAGGGAAGTTTATAGCAATACAATCCTACCTCAAGAAACAAGAAATATCTCAAATAAAAAATCTAACCTTACACCTAAACCAATTAGAGAAAGAAGAAAAAAACCCCAAAGTCAGCAGAAGGAAAGAAATAAAAAAAATCAGATCAGAAGGACTTCCCTGGTGGCGCAGTGGTTAAGAATCTGCCTGCCAATGAAGGGGACACGGGCTCGAGCCCTGGTCCGGGAAGATCCCAAATGCTGCAGAGCAACTAAGCCCACGTGCCACAACTACTGAGCCTGCGCTCTAGAGCCTGTGAACCACAACTACTGATCCTGCGTGCCACAACTACTGACGCCTGTGCACCTAGAGTCCGTGCTCCACAACAAGAGAAGCCACCGCAATAAGAAGTCCATGCACTGCAACGAAGAGTAGCCCCTGCTCACCGCAACTAGAGAAAGCCTGTGTGCAGCAACAAAGACCCAACGCAGCCAAAAATTAAATTAATTAATTAATTAAAAATAAGAACAGAAAAAGAAATGAAGTACACTAGCAAAGATCAATAAAACTAAAAGCTGGTTCTTTGAGAAGATAAACAAAATTGATAAACCATTAGCCAGACTCATCAAGAAAAAAAGGGAGAAGACTCAGATCAACAGAATTAGAAAGGAAAAAGGAGAAGTAACAACTGACACTGCAGAAATACAAAGGATCATGAGAGATTACTACAAGCAACTATACGCCAATAAAATGGACAAGCTGGAAGAAGTGGACAAATTCTTAGAAATGCACAACCTTCTGAAACGGAACCAGGAAGAAACAGAAAATATAAACAGACCAAACACAAGCACTGAAATTGAAACTGTCATTAAAAATCCTCCAACAAACAAAAGCCCAGGAGCAGATGGCTTCACAGGAGAATTCTATGAAACATTCAGAGAAGAGCTAACACCTATCCTTCTCAAACTCTTCCAAACTATAGCAGAGGGAGGAACACTCCCAAACTCATTCTACGAGGCCACCATCACCCTGATACCAAAACCAGACAAGGATGTCACAAAGAAAGAAAATTGCAGGCCAATATCACTGATAAACACATACGCAAAGAGGTAATATCAACAAAATGTAAAATGCCTAGGTACTAGGTTAGACTTAACCTAGTAAGTTTTAATTGCTCATTCTGCAAAAGGGAGGTCATATACAAAAGGCCATTTTAAGGATTAAATGCCAAGTGCTAACACAGTGCTTGGTAATAACAAGTTTTTAATACATATTTGCTAATATTAATAAAAATAATTATTGTTGACTGTGAGATTAGGTAGTGGGCTCCCTGTCGCTACAGGTATCCAGGCAGGCTTACTTATTACAGGAAGAAGACGATGGAGAGAAGACTTAGCCTTGGAAGGAGGGGATGAGCTACTGGATTCTTCCAGATCTAAAAATTCTGCTGTTGTTGAAACACAAAACTGATTTTTTAAATGGAGTTGTTTGGGATTGTTGTGCAGAGTGACTGGGGAGCCCTTCACCAACAGGGCCATCTCCCCAGAGTTACAGGGCGATGCAGCTCTCATAGGCCAGCCCTGCTTTTCAGACAGGTGAGGCAAGTGTTCCCCCAGACTGCCCATTCTCTGTACCAAGAATGGCTCTACCTGCTCTGGAGAAGCTGCAGATAGCAGCTCTACATGCTCTCCCGCATTCACAAAAAGGAAAGCTAACTGCGTGGTGACAACAGTATTAACAGCAACAGCAAGCCCACGCTGATCACTTACTGTGTCCTGAGCTCTGCGCTGAGGGCTTTGCATGCATTGTCTTATTACTTCCCCCAACAGACCCGTGCATATGTAGCGCCTATGCTATATGTGTCATCCCCATTTGACAGATGAAAGCAATGAGGCTTGGAGGGAATAAGTATTGTCAAAAACCCTTCAGCCAGTAAGGGACAGGGGTTTGAACCCAGAATGTGAGAAGTAGTTGCAGGACCTCATGATAAGCTGACAACTCATTAGCATTAGATGAATCCTTTCCTCTTTCAGGACCTGCCACTACCTGTGCCAGCCCCACTGGGTCAGGTGACCCTTCTCAAGGTAGCTGGGAGCTGGGAAAGCTGAAATTGCCATGGGCATTATCTAGTAATTCCTGGGGAGAGCAGAACACTGAGAAACAAGGCTTAAGCTGCACCCACAAAACAGCACCCCAAGCAGCAGGATGAAGAACATCTTGGGAGCAAAGCCCCGGTGCTTAGAGAAGCCAGAGGTTTCGACCTTAATGATAAGGCCAAGTACCATAGAGACAGAATACTCCCTCAGAGACATCCAAATACTTGCGGACTGTTTTACCACTTTCATTTTCTTGTAATATCCTTTGGTCAACTCAAGCAGGCTTCAAACTTGCCTCATTCCACTTCTGTGGGCTCCCTCAGACTAGCAGCAAACAGGTTCACTTTGCCATGGCAAGGCCAGGGCACAACCCCTGCATCTCTCCAGACCTGCACAGGTCCTCAAACTCTGTACTCAAATCACTAATACCATCTGCCCCGAATACCAGGAGGATGCCAAGGGGACAAAGTCATAACCTCATGTGCAAGAACATGGACTTTGGAGTCATAGACTCCTGGGTTCATGTCTCAGCTCCTCCACTGGGTACTTATCCTCTCTGAGCCTCAGTTTCCTCATCAGTCCAATGGGGATCATAATACCTCATAGTTTTGTTCCAAGGATTAATGAGATAATGTAATACTGGGAAAGCAGTGGAGCATTGAGGCTAAGAGCACAGGCTCTGGTGCCAGACTGTTTAAGTTCAGACGCTGGCTCTGTCACTAACTGTGTGTCCCTGGGCCTCAGCATATTCAATTGTAATATGGGGATAATAAGAGTATCCACCTCTACAGGGCAGGGAATGAATGAGTTATGGCTTGGAAAGTGCTTAGAACAGCACCTGGTACATTGGTGACTACTTGGTAAACGAGAGTTGTTATGATTGATGCAAGTAAAGCCCACAGCACGGTAAAGATAAGTGTTCAATAAACGGTAACTGTTATTATTACAAGGTACACTCTGCACGGAGAATTTTATGCACATTTATCTCCTAGAAAGCAATTAAGAAATGAAGACATTAGGGGAAAATCTTGTCCTCTAGCAAAAGTTTCAGTCTGAGCAGAGAGAATCCACCATCCTGTTGCCCTGGCAAGATACCTTAGGAACCCCGTCCACCATCCCCAGGCTCTCCTTTGCTTTATCCAGCCATCCCCTCTTTCAGTAAATACTCGTTAAGCACCCACAGTGAGCCTAAAGGAGGAATGGAAATACCTAAGCTGTAAAAAAAATGGCTCCAGCTCCTGCCACCCTGGAGCTTACAGGGTAGCAGGGGAGATACACATTAAATAAATACGTACACAAATGATTATTTAGGGACAGCTACAATTTGTGTTATGAAGAATGTGGTGAAAAGGTATAATGGGGGTCCTGATATGATGTAGCATCAGAGGTGTATGTGAGGGAGGAGTCGTTAGACAAACTTCGTGAGGAAGTGCCGTTTAAGCTGGGACTTCATGGATGAATAGGAGTTGGCTGGGGGATGCCTGGGAGTGGAAGGAGGAAGCGATCCAGGCAGACAGGCATTTTGTTCCGAGGCCCTGTAGCCACAAGGTGGCTGGCTCACTAGAGGAAAAGACACAAAGGTAGTAAGTTGACTTACCCCCAGACCATCCACTATCAAAAGCCCTCAGCTGGGAGGTTGGAAATTGGAGAGAAACCCAGGCCCCCAGGAACTGTGTTCTCAGTTGCATCTGTTATCTCTTCCCTTTCAGACTCTCCCTGCCTGGTGGCAAAGACTGCCAGGTCCCAGACCCTGACCCCGAGGCCAAGCGAACAAAGGTTTTGGCTCAAATACCCAGAAGTTGCAGATGTGGCTCACTTTTCCCACATGTGAACTTCAGCCAAGACACCACGACAGGGACTCTGTCCTCTGAATGCCCTCGGATGCCTCAATCCTGTCCCCATCACACGCCACTGGGTTTTGTGAGGCTATTTAGGCAGATAAGTTTCCCTCACTGAAGAAAAGGGAAACAGCATGAAAGAAAACAATGGCCCCAAAGGAAGAATATGTGATTGACGTAAACGGGGATGTTCCCTTAGGAGCATCATGTATCAAAAAAGAAGCCAAGCCCCAGGTCATTTATTTCTCTGCCTGTTTACATGAAATGGAAAGATATGTTTAAGTTTCCTGTAGCTTTACACTGCAAATTGATGCTCCCAGAAAGGAAGCCGTATGTTCCAGACGTAGCAGGTTTCTTTTGGAATTCACATGTTGGCAGTCTGGCGCTATCCCCTAAATGGTACTTTCATTGTCTTTTTGTTCAAGACAGCAAGCTTCTTCCAGGATCAGAACTGCCTGCCAGCCTCCGTTGATAAACAGCCCACCAGCTCTCGTGGTAGATCAGGTTTAATGATTAGCCTAACTCCTTGTTTACCTAAGTGGCAATTACCACTGCAATGGAATAATATTTTAACTGCAGGGGAAGCATTACGGAGAGCCCCCCAAGAAAACCTACTGGCTGGGAATGGCCAACAGAGCTGCCCATACTCAGAGGAGAGGACCACTCCATCCCGGCTGGCAGATCTCTGTGTCTGAGATGCTGTCATTAGACGCTGCTCCGAAGACCTAAGGAAATGTGCCCAGGAGAAGTGTATGGTCCCAATCCTTTCAACTGAGGCTCAATGGCCCAGCAAAGTATGAAAGTGAGGCCTGTGCTTCTGAAGCATAACAGTCTAGAGTCGGTGGAGCTTGCGAAGCAACCTCACCACCGCAGGAGCAAATCTCAGCAGGTGCGATTTAAGGAAGATGGCACCAGTAAGACTCCACCTGCCCGAGCTGAGGTTGACATCCAAACTCCTGAGCACCCGGCTGTAATGGGCGAGACTCAGGCCTCCGGGCACCATCACCTCCCCACCTACTCACTCTCCTTCCCCAGGTCCCAGAAGGCAGGGGGCTTTCGGCACATCGCCATCCAAACCTCCCCCAGTCTCAGGAAGCACTTCCCAGTTTTCAAAAGGAAGAGACTCACGGCTAGCAAGTCCCTGGTGGAAATGCAGACAGCATCCCAAAGTGCCATCCAGGTGAACGGCAATCTCTCTGAACAGGACATTGTGTCCTCTGACCTTGCCTACTTAAGGCTGTCTCGGCATCTTGAAGATGGGCCTCAAAGGGTCAAGGCGTCCCACCCATTTCTCCCTAGAATGTCCAAGGTGCAAAGCAATGGGCCTGTGAGCATATGCTTGGAAACAGGGACATGGAGGGCCTCAGAGAAAGCAACAGCTGCCATTCAGGTTCCAGATGATATTTATCACAGCCCTACCTGGGCAGGTAGAGAGTCCACTTTCAGCCCAGACAGGTCTGCTGAGATTAGCAACTCCATACCCACTTTGGTTGACATATGTCCAGGTGATGGGAGAAGAGTGCCACCGTCAGATTCAGAAAGACCCCTCTCCTGCTTAAATGCCACCAGCGGTGCCAACCACATGCCCGGCACAGGGAAACTTAAACCTGAAATGCTTTTGCCCAAAGATAACTCTGATGACAAAGACCTTGGCCCATTGTCATCTCAGTCAAAGGAAACGTGTGTTCCCTCACATCCACAGACTCACAGCTCCCCTTCGCCAGGCTCCCATAGCCAGCCAGCCCAGCCAGGGGGAGCTTCAGATTGTGCTTCATCGAGTAACAATCACCAGGATCTGCAGTCACTCAAAACTAACAGTGAGTCAAAATCTGCCCCTGTGTGTCAGGAGCAGATGGCAAAGAACCCCTTCCAGTCACACAGCCCAGCGTTTCAAAACTGTCCAGAAAGCGATCACCTCCCATCCTCTCTTCCAAGGAGGGAGACCGAACGGCAGGGCACCACGGAAATGGGTGCACTTAATCCAATCCACCTGGCACAGGGTGAGTTCTGCGACCTCCAGGGCAGGCTGCAATCCGTGGAGGAATCTCTGCACTCAAACCAAGAGAAAATTAAAGTCCTTCTGAATGTAATTCAAGACTTGGAGAAAGCTCGAGCTCTCACAGAAGGGTAAGGTGGATTTTTTTTATTGGGTTAAGCCACTTGCCAGGATAGGGGCAGAGAGAGAGCACTGGTTTCCGTTAGTAAGATGTCTCCAAAATGTCTGAGATTCTGTTGTTTCCCCAGATTGTAAGCAATGGTCCCCCTTTGTTCTGACTGGGTTTCGCCTGGTTGTAGGCTTTGGTGGATTTCCACGGTGATGTGTTTTTGTTTCCAGATGTCAACAGACTGCAGAAAGGGGGCCATGAAGCAGCAGAGTCAAAAGTGATTTTTATTAAGATGTGAGTCCAGCTGATAAATGATGGGGGAAAATGATAGCATGTAGGTGCTTCCCCCACCCCCATCCTTGAAGCAAGTTACTGCATTTGCACAGTATTTTAGTTATTTATGGGTTTGTCACAGGGACTTGAGGTGGCCACTAAGCTTACTGTTGACCTTTCCCACCACTGACCACTTTGAAGGCTTGGGCCAGTCCATCATGGACCAGCTAAATGGAAACTGAAATGAGATCACAATTTTGCAAAGAGAAAAAAGTCACAAAATGCTTTCCTGGATGACTCAGCATCAGTCTGGGGAGGGGAAGGCAGTTTTCTATTTAGGTGTGAGTTGTTCTTTCCTTGAAACAGTGCTCTCTAAAGACTGAGAAGAAGGAATGGCCAAAGCTAATCGACAAAAGGGTAGGAGAGGGAGGAAGTAATTAACTGGCCTTTGCTGATAGGGATCAGAATCAACATTGCTTTGTAAGAGAGAAGCACTGTGATGATACACAGAGAAATGCACTGAACTAAGGGATCTGGAGTTTTAATCATCTTCCTCTACTCATTTGCAAAGTCCCTCAGTTTGCCCATCTATCATGCGGGGGTAAGAATAACTAGCTCATCTCATAGGGTTATTGTCAGCATGAAGAAAGCCCATATGTCAAAGTGCTTAAACATTTATAAAGCGCTCTAGAAATGTGAGCTTCTATTAACAGGGGTTTCTTGTTTCTGTGTCTGTAATGGCCAGGCTTTGGTACTCATGAGAGGGGCAATGCTGTGCTGCAGGGAATGAGTCTGTAGAATGCGTGCATCCCAGGGGGATTTTGCCCACAGATTTATCTAGTAAATGCTCTATCTTGCAGGCGCAACTTTTATCGAACTGGCCAAGATCTCAACAACTGCAGGACCTGCCAGAACACAGCGTGCATCATATACAGGTACCTGGCCGCAACCGAGGCCTGCTCTCGAGAGCACAGAAGTTGCAGGGTCCACAGGACATTCTCGTAAGCTCTCTTAGGCACAGAAACTCAAGAGAGGGGCAAAGACAGGAGGCCTTGGAATACCTGAGACTTAAAAAGCAAGGTGTTTAACTATGAAACGTTAGCATCTGGTTCCAAGGCAGGCATTGCTTTGTTTCCTCACAACAAGGTCTATGAGCAAATCCTCTTGAGATCATCATCCCTCCACTTACTGAATACCGAGTACAGGCGCCTTGCTAAGCTCTGCACGCCCGTTTGCGTCTCTTTCACAGTATACCTCGTGAGGTAGGCGTTAAGGTCCTCAGAGAAGTTCAGCCATTTGGCTCCACTCCCATAAAGCATTTTCAGAGGGGGGGGGGGGGGGGGGGGCTCGCCAACCAAATATTCAGAGTCTTGGGACTCAAATCCAGATCCTTCTGATCCCAAGCCCTGTGATCTTGATTGCTGTACCACACAGCCTCTTCCTCCACAGTAGCTATCACATGCCAACAATTACTATACGTCAAGAACTATGCTCAGCACTGTGCGTTCATTTCTAAGTACACTGTTTCTTTCCAGCAGGGGGTAAGGCTGCTGCAATAGAGTGAATTTTTATAAGTAATAGAAGGGAAACAGCATACAGTTGGAAGAGCACTAAACTTGGAGTCAAAATCCCCAAGTCTACGCCTGCTTACTTGTCTGGAGCTCAGTTTCCTCATCTGTAGAGTGGGAACAATTATCCCTCTTGAGAGTTGCCGTTAGGAACAAATGAGAAAATATACCTGAATGCCTTTTGTAAGAGAAAATTTCTGTACAAATCCAAGAGCTTATTCCTGTTATTACTGGAAAAATCAACACCCCTTTAGCTGGAGGTCTACTTTCGGTGGCACACTGGAAAAGTGGTCTAAAGCAGTCATTTCAGTTGATGGAATCTATGTTTAACAAAAGTGTATGCTTTGGTTTTCTGTATTATTTTCTCTCTCTGATGAGAAAGGCAGCTAGGGCCTGAGCAAACTGAAGCCCAACTGGGTTGCCTGTGTCTTCTTTTTAAAATGTCTCATTCCTTCCAGCAGAATCCTGAGGTTTCATCCTGGCAAGGGATGGGGGCCTGGCAGTCAGGGGGCCCCTACCCTTAGGTGAGGCCTTGGGCATTTTCTCACTGAACTGTCAACACTTTATACCTAAAAGCCAAAGGACTATGAAGTTTTTTCACCAATAACAATAACAGGAGCTTCAGGACCTCTCAGAAAAAAACATGCCCTTTACCCTGGCATGAAATATCCCCTCTTAAAAGGGGGCTCTGGAAAAGGCTTCTGCCTTGGAAAGAAAAATTAGGGAGTCTCATCAATTGCTTACATTTTGCTCCTTCTTTTTTTATATCCCCCATCTTAAGCAAATTTCCTAATCACCAGGAGGACAAAAATCATTAAATGTCTAGACTGTTAGGGAAGACAAAAACTTTTCCTCATAAACAAAAATAATTATTTTTAACTAACTTCCATTTAAATTTTGAAAAGTCTCTTTTTCAGCAGCCAGATGATGTATTTTCTATTACCTTCAGATGACTTTTTATTTAGCTTATGTAAGAGAAAAGGACAAATGTTTATTTTCCAATCTACTATGAGTTTCTTGCCCTGGCCTTCGGCAAATCTTTTCTGGCCTCTGAGTTTCCTCATCTGAAGAATGAGGGCCTTTAACTAGATGGTCCCTATGGTCCCTTTCAGTTCTGACATTCTGATGTTCTAGGCTGAATTTAAAATAGTAATATTTGGCTAAACTACAACCTTCCAACAAGTCTGAGAATGTTTGCATTTTTCTAGTACTTACTTCAAATATCTCAAGCAAACATTCTAAATTTACCCCTGGATGCGCTGGCAAACCTTTATCCACACATCCCTTTTCAGTTTTCCAAGAAAAGCAGCCATTGCATGCATCTATCCCTCATTACTATTCAAAGCCAGACTCTTCTCCCAGACAGTATCTATATCGTTGTATCTAAGCCATTGGGAAGGAACAGGCAATTAGTTTGATGAAAGCAAAGAGATAAGAACAACATCTCCATCACAGTAACAGTGGGAAGATGAGAGTTGTCTTTTTTTTTTTTTTTAACATTTCAAATGACTTCAAACCCTGTGTGGTACCCTGGAAAGTCAGATCTTGCAAACCAATAAATAAATGATGTGAAATACTCATCCTCGGGCCTTGTTAAGCTGCAGTCTCTCCCTGATGACGGATGGACCGAGTGCATGTCACTGAACATAAAGCACATGGATGCGTGACGGATTGCCTGCCGGGTCTTCTTCTCTGGAGATGTTGCTGCTAAGTTAGCAGTCCATAAGGTTTTCTAAGTGGCCCCATCAGCCGAAGCCTATGGCTATGCTACTCGCTTCCATCAAGACACATGGGGTCACTGGTTCTATCCGACTCATTCTCTCTGCTCCAAGAGGAGCCTTCTGTCCACCCGCTCCTCAAAGCCTCACTGGCATTCTTCTTACCATGGATCACTGTGATAGATCCTACCTCACCAAGGAGAACAGCACCAAAACTGATGCCCAAAGATTCCGTGTATTCTCATGAGTACACCAGGAAGAATGAACTCCTTGCAGTTTTGACTGCTGTGGGCTCCAGGGGAAGGGTGTGGGGACTGGCTCTATGACTCAAGCTGGTTCCAGGCTGTTTAGACCCCTAACACTCTCCTCACGTCTCCTTAGCATTAATCCTAGGACAAGGTACTCAAAGGGTTTCTGCATGCCTCCTGCGGTACCTAAGATTCAATAGCATTGGATTACCTAGTGAGAAGGTTGTTCTCTTTTCAAATTCATTTCAATTCTTCTGATTTACCCAGAGGGAAAAATCTGAGTTTGGTGCTAGAATGTCTTCAAAACCTTTCTAATGCTTACTTATCACACTTCTTTGCCAAGAGTGAGCATGTTTCATGTTCATAGCCATGGGCAAGCAAGAGTGCGCAGCCAGAATGTAATCATTTCTAAATCTTTATGGGAAGATTTTAACTTTTAAAACTAGTCCCCCTACCTACTCACTGTTAGGCACGTCTCCATTTTCAAAAGGTATATTGCCTGTTTTGTACAAATGTTTTTAAGTCTAAAAAGTGAATTGGTCTAGAGAGAAAAAAATTATTGTGCATGTGGTATGGGGAGTTTCACAAAAACCATGAAGGTGGTGAATGAATGACTGCAGTTTTGGAAACTGTGCCTTAAGGAACCAGCTCCCTTTCCTCTCTCAAGGACATGAAGTCTCTCCAAGCCATATCTCTCCTCCTTCCCTCACCCCGTTCTCTGCTCCTCCAGCCACATCTGCCTGCACTTCATCTTCACGTTCACTCTAAAAATAACCACAGAACCTCTCTGGAGGTCTCTGACTACACCAATCATGCATTTATTTTACGGATGTAGCTCCCAGGAAAAAAATCTGCCTGGTTTAAGTTGTAAAATGCCTCAAATGTTTTAAGGAAAAAGAATGGGAAGTCTTTCTCAGAAAAAAAAAATTTCTTCTATCATCCAAGTGTGTTTCTTAGAAAATGGAAATAAAGAGCAAACAGCAAACTTACCATTTTCAATGGGTGAAGGGAGAGGCTGGCCATGTAAAATTTGAAAGGTGCTAGAGAGGAGAGAACAACAGAAGAGCACTTGTTTGCTCAGGGGTCTCTCTGGACAGGCTGTCTCCTCTTCTCATCCTTAGCCTCTGTTCATGACTTCAACTGCACTCATGGATTTTAATTTTAATTGCTGTGACATCAGCTTCCCCTATCTTTTTTATGAGTTCTCTCTCTCTCTCTCTCCCTCTCTCTCTCTCTCTCTCTCTCTATATATATATATATATATACACTACCTACAGATCTTTCCATTTCTATCTTGATATCTCAAAGGTACCTCAAATTCTCCATATGCGAAAACATACTTCTTATTTTCCTCCACAAAATTCTTTTCCTATGTTTCTTATTTTGCTCAACATTGTTAACCACAGTTCCATAAAGAAACTATAGTCCCCATAGTGCCTCGCTCCTCTCCTTTACAACACACATCAAACTGGCTACTGATTCTACCCTCTCTCTCTGGTCCATAAAGGCTCTCATCATTGGTCACTTAAACGCTAGCTGGCCTTTTTGCCATAGGTACCTTTTGCCCTGTCCCAAGTAATCCTCCACACAGATTGCTAAATTACCTGAAAAGAAGAATCTGATCATGTCACTCCCCTGCTAAACAATTTTGTTCCAGTTCCTGTTGTTTCCTTTAGCTAATTTTTCAAAGCCCTTTGAACATGATACTAACCTTCTTACCTGCTGGGTCTCCTATTTCTCCCCAGCCGCAGGGAACTACTCAGCTGGCTTCATATACTGTGCATTTTCTCATGCAAGTTTCCTTATTTCCTGAAATGCCTTTTCTGCCCTGCTTTGTCTGGAACTCTCCTAGTCTTGCAGCTTAAAAGTCAGTTCCTCTGAATAGCCTTACATGCCTTCCCAAGAAGGACCCCCTTGGCACACACATTCCTCGACTATACCATTTATCCTATTGCATTGTAACACAGTGTTTATGAGTTTCTTTCCTTCAGCTGATGGCTAGTACCTCAAAGTCGTGGGCCAGTGTCTAACACATAGTTGGTGCTCAATAGAATCTTGTCAAGGAAGAGAATGGCTATACTGACTAGGGGAGGGATGAAAAACAGTGGTGGGCTTGAGACAGCTATTCAGATGCCCCAAAGTCAAGTCAGTGTGACTATTTGTGTGTGCCCCTACCCTTGGGTGGGGAAACGGAAGGCCTTAATTAATCAAATGTTCTTATTAGGGAAGGAAGGCTTCTGTGCAGCAGGTCCTCAGAAGATCTTTCGGAACTAAATCAAACGACTATATGTAGTACATGGACTGTCAGTTTTCAAACACCTGGAACACTACAAGATGAAACCTAATCAAATCTTCCTTCGATGACTCAGAATGCTTGTTGCAATTTCACAGGACATTGAGA